ATTTCAAGAAAGTTAGATTAATCATCATTGTCCATGTCATTTCATTTATCTTGTCCAAGCCTAATATTATAAAAAGTATTTTTCTCTAATATTAAAAGTTAGTATCTTTCCTACTCACTTATACATAAAACATTTCCCCACAAAAGCTGAATCTAAAGTAAACTTACTAATATATGACAAATTTTGTATTATCTTATTTTTTGATTTTTATTACTATAGTTATTTTCTTTGCTTTGGTTATCTTATTGCTTTGTTATTTGTTATTGTTATTGTTCTTGTCTTTTTTATTTCCGGCCTAGCTTCTTCAATATTATTTTTCAATATGGCTTCTTTTTCAATCCTACTTAAAAATGCTTTCCTTGCCTCTTTACCTTCACAAGATATGAGTAAGATTCGCGTACATACTATCCTCCCAAGATTTTACTTGTGAGATTATACTGGAATTGTTGTTGTTGCTTAGAAATGCTTTTCTTGAGCCGATGATCAATCGAAAACAACCTCTCTAACTTCACAAGGTAGGAGCAAAGGTGGACCTATATGTTAAAGTGAGGGGTCATCGGACCCAGAGGCGGACCCAGAATTTGAACGTCGCGGGGGCACCATTATCTTTAACGTAAATATGAAAATAATATTAATTGCAATAAAGTTTGGCGTGCAACTCTTTGAAAACTTAGTGATTACGAGTTCGTGGCCGAAAGAATATTTAAAAACATAAAAAGCTTAAACAAAATCATGACTAATAAAAGTCTGTAAGCAGTCCAAAAAGCCTCAATCGAAGTCCTAGAGTCAACTAATACTTGCTACTTTGCCAAAGTAAACGTCGAAGGGGGAAGGTTTTCATTGTCTTTATTTTTTCTAAATGAAATAATAATAAAAATTGATTAGAGATAAAGATTATTGACTAATGAAACTAGTTAACGAAATATTTTATCCCCCTTTCTTACTGTCTTTAATCATTATTTTTGTGTCTCTTTATTAACTTTTCAAAGTCTAGAAAATGTATCTCCAATAGAGTTTTTGAGTATTTTGTGTAAAAGATACAAAGAACTAATCGTGAAGAGAAGTTGAGTTTTGGTACTTAGATGGAGAGATTTTAAAAGAAAAAAATTAAACTAAGTGACTTCTATGTACTATTAAAAAGGGAAAGAAGAAAGAAGTGGTGATTGGTGAAGTAATGATGGTGTTGGGAATTGATCGTGGGTCTAGCAGTGAGGGAATGAAACTAAACAGCCTGCAGAACCAGTGCAACCAAGGGACATTTTGATCTTTTAGGGGCACAATTAAATTATTATAGGGGTCCTCGATGTATATACAGTAATATATACATGCTTTTTCCAGAGCCTATAGGGTGCTAGTGACCCCTCACCTCTCCACGTGGGTCCGCCCATGATCGGACCACTAAGTTTCGGTAAAAATCTTGTATATGTATATGTATATACTTTGAAAGTAGTTAATTTAAAGCACTTGACACCTAAAACACTAATAACCTTTACTGGTTGAGCAGAATATTGTGCACTCATCACGTAAAAATTATAAGTTCGCGTCTGGATAAGAGTAAGGTCTACGCACAAACTTCACTCCCTAAGCTGCATTTGTAAGGATATACCGGGTATATCATTGTTGTTACTAACATAGGATAAATTTTCAAACTCCCACTTTAATAAAAACGAACAAGTTACAATAAGTTACAACTTACAACAATCCACGCAAAAGTACAAAGGGATGAAGATAACTATAGTTGAATGGTATACTAATAATTAGAGAAACACCCCAATGGCTATAAAGTCCAAGACTATGATTAAATATAGTAAAATAAGAACATGGAGTGAAAGCAAAGAGACAATTTAAAATGGGACCCAAGAAAGTTTGATTGTGCTATAAATAGAAGGGGTCTATAGGAGTTAATAGGAGGAGGCTATCTCATCAACCATTATCAACATTGTCCTCTCTCGCTATCCTATGAATCTACAACCTTACCCTTATTCCCTATCAACAATTTCTCTCCCAAATTTTTTGCAATTTTAAACTATAAAGAAATCCTCAAGTTCTTCTAGCTCCTACTATACCTATAAAGTAAGTAGTAGTACCCTTTATCTATTATCTTTATCTCTTTCCAATTGTGTAATTCCTTATCCTTCTATTTGGTTCACAATCATCTTATTATTTATAATAGTCTTTGGAAAATATGGTTTTTTATGCAGTTCTTGATGGGGTTCACATAATATGTGAGTCTTGATCTGTTATTAGATCTCAAATTTGAGGAATTAAATTGTATTTCCTGCTTCTGTATTTTAAGCTGATTATGTTTTTATTTGATTTGAGTTTTTTAAATATTTTTAATGCTTCTTGATGATGGATAATTTGCCACTTGAAAGGGCTGATTTTACCTTGGATCTCCACATTTTATTCAATATAAAAAATTTCTGTTTTTTGGTTCTGCTTTTCATTTGTCTATTAACATTTGGTATCAGGATAGCAAAAAAGATCCAATTTTTATCAGAAGTTTCTTTAGTTCTTGGATCCATGTTCATGAAAATCTGGTTTTGTTTTTCAAATGATACAAAATTGAACTGATACAAAAAGTTTAAGGACTTTCCGATTGATGGGGTTTCCTCATCTTGTTTAGATGTGCATAAAGCTCCAATTTTGAATCCCTAATTGTGTTTCTGCTTTCCATATTTTCTCACCTACTCAATCACTATGGTTTACTCACCTCTAGTTATTACTTTGATGCATATGTTAATTAATATTTAGGCTGATAACTATAATCTGCTTCTCTAGAAGGAATATGTTCCATTTATAATTGGCTTACTTCTGTGGCCTCCTTTTAACTTTTCCTCAAAAGTGACTGATTGATATATGTTGCTGCTTGTTTTTTTTGCAGATCCAGTGCACTGAGCAATTTCAGAAGTTTTTTGCTTGAAGAAAAATACTTGATTTCAGCCTAGGTAAAATCTTATTTCAGAAGTTCTGGTCTTTCCTATGATTGCTGTTCTGGATGCTCTTTCTTTATGGAATAATCATCTTCTAGACTAGAAGAAGTAAAGGGGCCAAGAATAGAAAATGTTTACCTTAATATTGCATAACTTGAAGCAACTATTAGTCTAGTACAATACTACTACAACAACCACAACAACCCAGTGGAATCCCATAAGTGAGGTCTGGGGAGGGTAGTGTGTACACACGCTTTACCCCTACCGTGGGGAGGTAGAGAGGTTGCTTCCGGTAAACCCTCGGCTCAAGAAAGTATTAGTCTAGTACAATCTACTTGGAATATCTAGACAGAATATGGATTTATTTTACTTAGCTGGAAGATGGATTTTTTTCCGGTGCTTAATCTGAGGGTCTATCGGAAATAGCCTCTCCACCTTCGCAAGGTAGGGGTAAGGCTGCGTACAAACTACGCTCCCTAGACTCCACCTTTGGGGTTTCATTGAGTTTTTTGTTGTTAGTTGTTTGGAAGATGAATTTTGACTAACTCTTTTGCTAAAAGAATATGAAACTAGTTTTGTTGGCGGTGGTTTTTTCAAAATAACTTTGATACTATTTTTTCCATAGGGAAAACTACACAGTATAGCCGCTCCCAAAATAATAGTGGCGAAATGTATAATACACATTAATATACATGTTTTTGTATATTTGGCTAGCGGATGCAACTATTTTTGCTGACCAGCCAAATGTGTAACTTGCCCTTTTTCATTGGCTAATTTTTCCTTTTCTAATGGTTGCTGTTTTATTTCAATGACTAGATTCCGATCCACTATGGGCCTTTCACAGTATCCAACTCCAGCAGATGCAGGAGTGCTCTGTGTGATTCTAATGAACACAGCCATTTCCATCGCCGTTCTCAAGGAGATAGTCCGATCAATCCTTCACGTGATTGGCATCCGCATAGCAGCATGGGACGAATATTCTATCGAAGGAGGACCCTTGGACCCATTTGAATGTCGTGGAAGCCCATCAGAGTCATATATGGAGGAATTCAGAAGTCATACCCCTGCAATTCGTTATGACTCGATCTGTATCTCTAACCACGCTGAGAAAGAGTGCTCGGTCTGCCTAACGGATTTTGAGCCTGATGCAGAGATAAACCATCTCTCTTGTGGCCATGTTTTCCATAAGCAATGTCTAGAGAAATGGCTCAAGTATTGGAATGTAACTTGTCCACTTTGCAGGAATTACATGATGCCTCAAGAAGGCGAAGAAGATACTTGTCCTATGTGAGCTACAAGTTTTATGAGGCTTATAACACTATATACATCTGAGGATAGATGGTGTAGTGTGTACATCTTAGTAGTGTGTACAGGCTGAGTACAACATGCATGGTTGATCTTTGACATTGGGTAGTTCTATAGGTTTTCATATTTGTAATGCTTTTGGCGTCCTCTCGGAGTGACGGGTCTCTTTGCTGTGACCAAAAAAATTCATACATTCTTGTACATATTATATGAAGGAGGTTCTTGTTGTGATGTTTTTCCATCTTCTTGCTTAGCTTCTTTCAATCAGTGAACTCTTTCTGCTTGCTTAATCCGGTGTTTCGTGAGAGGTTATTTCAAAGTCTGGGAAGTTGCTAGATTAAAGTAAAAGGAGTCCCAGCAAACGCTAGGTGATTTCTTCTCATCTGTCCAAGCCTTGGTGGACAGAGTTACCGGTATCTGTGCTGGTGGGATCTGTACCAGAATCTTGTGGAATTAGCCGAGTTACCTATATCTGTGTTGGTGGGAAGTAGCTGGAATCCTGTGGAATTAGCCGAGGTGTGTGAAGCTCCACGGTTGTCGGAAAAAAAGAAAGTAAAAGGAGGATAGAGAGAGATTCACTTATTTTTGAAGATTCACTTTCTAATGCAGACACCATTGTAGGCTGCTGCTTAATTTCCTTATATCTGATTGCAGAAACTGAAAGAGTCTTATGCTTTCCTCATTTTCTTGTTTGGTTTTCTTTTGGTTGAGTGGAGGAGGTTAGGCATAACATGTGCAATGATTGAACTCATAATCAAGCAATAAACAAACAAATGGACAACCAAGCATTCTTCATGATTTTACAACTATAGGAATCAGATTAGAAAGTCCATATTAAGTGGAAAGTTGAAAAAGAGAAGCAATCCACAGAAAATTGAGTCCTTATTACAGCTTTATTACAGATGAAATGCTACATTATTTGAGTCATTTTCCAGCAGCTAGTTCAGAGAGTTTTGAGCCAACAGAGATGCTATTTCGAGTCAAGCTAGAGGTCCTGTGATATCTGCACCTGAAAGAACCAGCATGTGTAGTTGGTGAGCATAAGCAGTTGTACTTCGCGCTCTTTGGTTGGCCTGAAGGTGAAGAAGGCACTGAAGATGGCTGGTTCTTTATGCCTACTAGTATGCTTGGCACAATCAACTTCTTCTTTGATTGTCCAATCTCTATTGAATGTTGACTCACACTTGATTGTTCAGCCATTTTTTTGTGGACTCTGCAAAAGAAAGCCATCTCTTGAACAAGAAACTTTTGGATGGAGTTTTTGTGTATGGTTAACAAAGTCGTAAGATCATGTATGAGAAGGTCAAGAAAGTTGGTGATCTGATGACGACAAGGGGCAGGGGAAGGTCAAGAAAGTTAGTGACCTGATGACGACGAGGGGAGGGGGGAAAGGCCGCATGAGCGGAGCTATCGCCAGAAAATTACACTAGTATATACATGTAGCAGATGTAATAGATGTTGAATCCCTTTATCGTCTTTGTGTTTCTACTTCTTCATATTTTGAATTCCCTTAATTAGTGAAAATCATGGCTTTCTTTTCGATTTCTTTTTAATATCCCTTTTTCTCTATCCATTTTGTTAAATTTTGTTATCTTTGGTTCTGGTCCTTTTGGAACGGAAAATGAGGTGTGGATAATATTTTCAGGAGTACTTTCAAATTAATCCAAAAAAGCACAGGAAAGAAGGGAATCTCCCTTTTTTTTCCTTCTTAAATCCTGAATTTGATAAAAGCATGTTATCATGTAACATGAGAATAAATTAGTATTCAATCTCCACCTAATAAAGATTCAAAATGAACAGTGTCAAGACCAAAAAAAAAACATTCATAAAAGAGAAAATAGAAAGAAGAAATTAAAGAAGCAGCAAATATAAATTAGAACAATAAAAGGAAAGAAAAAGAACCACAAAAAGAGAAACCTAGCAATAAATACCTGGAAAATGCAAGATTGGAGAATTGTTAAAAAGTGAAAAGATTTCCAATGAATTAAGAAATATTAGAGCAGAAAGAAAGTAGGAGAAGAAGGAGAGAAAGAAGAATTCTCATTTAAGAGAATTCCTCCCCAAACAAAAAACAAATTCCTCTCCAGGAATGAATTATTCTTAGTTTCTGTTCTGATGTTTTATGCTTGCCTCTTCCTGAGGTTGTCCTCATTTCTGCTTTGAACACCACTATTTTTTTCCTTTTATTTTTAATTATTGTATGAAAATATGATATTTATCTTAAATTTAATATTCTCGTGTTATACACGTATTTACCATTTAATGTAACAATCTTTTAATTTCATTGCAAATTTGTCTAGATACTGATGCCAATAAGATTCAAGGATACTTGGGATAACAACTTTCTAAAAAACAAATAATCGTTACATGTTTTTCCTTTCCATCTATTTTTTCCTTGCCGGTACTTATTTCACTACCCTTATTTTATTTTGGCATGATAATAATGTAATGTGAACTCAAATAAAGAAGTGAGGATTAATATCGCGGACCTCAACTTTATATAAGATTGAGGCGCAGTAGCTGTTGTTATTAAGATGATTACCCGAGGTGGGTGGTGTTGAGGGGGTTATATAAATAGGCTTAAGCTCTCGGAAATAATAGTAGAAAATAAGCTGTAAATTGTGACGTCGAATTTAAGAAATGCTGGCACTACAAAGTTGAAGTCGACTATTTGAATCCTCAGTGTTGATATACAAATGGAGAAGAAAAATAAAGAGTAGCAGTCAGTTGAAACTTTCTATTCTTCATCATTTTTGGCCAGTCTGAAAAGGACTCAAATCATTATTGGGAATAAGAATTTCAGAACGAGTAAGTTTAGCTACTCGGGAAGCTAGACATTTTGCAGAAATTGGAAATAACCAAGTCCAAATTTGAATAAATAAAGAAGAAAGATGTTATAAATTTTTACTTATTCAGTTGGAGATCGCTAAAATCCGCAAAGATAGCCAGCATTTTCTTTATTCCAATAAGAAAATAACACCCTATTTTGTAACCATGTTCAGCATTATAACCACACTATATGTACAGGTAGGTCTCAGAACAGTCATAGCACGTTAGTAATCGAACCTCCGATCATACCTTTAAGCAACATAAATGGCAGGGCTTAGACAGGATAACTATCCAAAGACAGATGGCTACTAGTTTACAATACAATCTAATACCTTAGGAAATGAGAATACGCGACTGAGTTATCAATCAACTTATTTTCGATAACACTAGAAAAACATGAATTCCATGAACTATCTTGAACAAGTCAACTAGTAGCAGCATTTAATCAAGGATGTATCGAGTTATTCCATATACGTCGAGCATTTTAGTTCTACTTGTAGGTGATACAAAAAAAATACTAGAATGCACACTAAGATTGCAATGGTTCAGCATTGCCGAGAGAAGCATTTGATTAGCATAAGCACAAATGAGATCAAACAACAATTTGATGATTAAAGTAACTGCACTTAAGTCAGGAACACAAATAGCATTCTTATTAACTAACTAAATGAAGGGATACAAGCTTGAAGTGGACACTGAGTACAATGCAACTACACTATAAAGAGGTACCAACTAAAGAAATAATCTATTATTGCTTCTCAGAATAGATACGTACGAATGCATTCGACAAATTAAGACCAAAAAGTTACCTAAAACAACAACACGGTATAGATTTACCCAAACTCTGGCAGGAGTAAAGCTTCAAAAGTCAGTCAGAAATTAGCTGGACGAAGTGCATGTATTGATCCCATCCTTGCAGTCTTTGGTGAGATCATTAAATGTCTCAATCTGCTTTTTACCTCTGAAGAAAACTTCGGTATCAACTGAAACCCTCATGTACCCGTCAAATTCAACTGGACTCCCGTTATTAAGTTTTGCAGTCTCTGCATACCACTCGCTGTTTTCATCCCAAAGATCTTTATATTCATCAAGGAAATGTGTGGAATACTTGTCTTTTAAAGGGTCAAAAAAGGATGTATCTGTTTCATCCGTTGCAATATACAGGTTCCTTCCGTCATCGATCTTGTCCTGCAAGGTAGACAGTAGAGACTCAGGAGAAGTATCTTCTGCCAAATGCGGCCACATTTCACGATTCCTTGCCTTCTCTCCCCTTACAACATGAACTGAGTCATAATCCCAATTCAACCTCGACGCAACAGCTGAAACAATGTCCATTAACCGTCTTGATTTCCATACCAGATGCCATGGTCGTTGAACGATAGATTCTGTTTCACCCTCACATACCCTGTACCAGTAATTATCTGGCTCTACGGAACCAAATTTCCTCATGATTAAAGTATCCTTCACTTGAGATAACTTCATTGGCGTAATCCTAAAATCCTCCACAAGATGGAGACTTAATCTGTCTTGTTTATGCCATTTATTCCAATCTGACCAAAACTGAACCTGATCAAGGACTGACGCTGAATCTTTTAAGTGCTCAAAATCGAAGTAAAACCTGAAATCCTTTCCTTCCTCATCCACATCAGATGAAGTGTAAATCTTGTTTAAACAAATACTTAAGTCCATTATCAACGTCCTGTTCAAATATTGAGCCTCACCCAACGCACACATGAAACTCCAAAGGTAATGGTTCATGCTCTTGCACCTATCCCCACCTCCAGAATAAATCAAATACTTACCACTACCGAATGAACTCTCCGATTCCACCACAGGAAGTGAGTCATTTACAGCTTCCCCAACCACAGGTAAAGCAATAATTTCTCCCTCTATCTTCTGAGATGCCTTCTCAAACCCCTCATCTAGCTTAGCAGGAGTTCTGTCTGACCCTCCCTTGTTTTTTCTCTTCCTCTTCCGAGCATTTCCACCGGAATGATAATCACCTATACTGACCACATCAAGCGTGCAGTTCTCCGACCTAGAAACCACAAAAGACCGGTAATCCTTATAAAGGGAAGCAGTCTTCCCTTCCTTAGGCCTAAACCGCCACGCCATGTGGCAGGAACTATCATTCGACCCTCGAACCGGCTTCCCAAACCGGAAAAAATGTATGTCCTTAAACTTCTCAATGGCAGCCCTCATCAACAAATGAAACACGTCCGGGTCAGTACAATCAATGGGATCATCAGTTTTGCCACGACAATCCAAATTATCCTCAGTGACACTTTCAGTTAAACCAATAGCCATCGGAACATCAACATCAGTGAGGTTTATAAAAGTCGAAAATGCGGTCTGATTAGGACCAAGAAAGTCCTCACCAGTCCTCACAACAGTATCATCAGCTTTAAATGTAGCATTAGATTTGGAAGTAAGGAAATTAGTGATCTTTGTTGAAGGGTGGAATAAAGGGTCTTCAGGCTCATAAGTTGCAGCAATTATAGTGAAAATCAAAACCCCAACTACAAATATAGTGAAACACAAGTTCCCTATCATTGCCATTGCATTTTGCCCCAAATTTTCTGGCCTGAAACTTCCACTCCTTGACAGCAAATTTGACGACCGACTCATCATTTTTTTTCACACTTTTATGAGCTTACTATAGCACTTAAAACCTCAAACACAACAAGAATGAAATCTGTAAATTAAAATGGGGCAATATATTAAACTACCACTTAAACAAATGACTAAAGGGTATCTGAAAAACATGAAATTTGACAAATTAAAACCAAGAATTTGTAGATCTGAGTAAGTATAAGCAAGAATTGACTATGTTAAAGCTGAAATTATGAAAAATAATACTATCATTGGTTTACCTCATACAGCTTGGAGATTGTCACTGATCACTTGAAGCTCAACATAGATTTCAGAACTTCTGTTTTATTCTCTCTTTCTAAAGAGTAATCAATGGAGTAAAGCTGCTTTATTTTTCTTAATTTTAGAGTCAAGATCTTAGATTTTTAAAATATGTTGGTCCATTTATGACGTGGACGGTCAGGATATTATAGTGTTATTATGATGAAAATGCGCACCGGGAATTTGGCCGCTTCATTAAATAAATATTTTAATGGGGATGAAAATTGTGTACACCGACAAAAAGAGAAAATGATAAAATTGATCCCTTATACTTGGGGTAAGTTTAAAATAATCTCTTAAATATCTTTCAAGTAGTTATGGTCCTTAAAATTTGTCAAAAATGAGCATTTCTGTTCGCTTTCAAATAGTTAACAAACTTTACATGTTAGATTTAACGGGAATTATGGAAAAACAAAAGATTTAAATGAAAAGTCTTGAAGGTACAATTTATGCTTTTTTGGTCTATTTTGTGTCTAGAACATTTCTTTTAACTAGGTTGCGCGTATATTTTTCGAGAATAAATTTTTTAAAAATTACATGTATAACATTATTTAAAAATACTTTTGAGTTATAAACTGAAATATTAAAAAATTTATAAATTTTTTTAAAGCGACAAATGTAGATTCTATTTAACTTACTAATAGAAAAAGAAATCCTTCCTCGCATAAGTCTTTAGATAGCTTAAGCTTCGAGATTCCTTTTCTCCTAGCATATTTGGATCAGTCTCATGATGACGAGATTTTACATGGGATATCGAGTTTTTGAACTCTATTTTAACTTTCTCCGACTGTCATAAA